TATCTTAGTTTTAAGGAATGATACAAATAAGTTGCCATGGATTGTAGTAAGTTACTGTCAATCGTCTTCATCAATTCCATAAACTTATTATATGAAGGCAATTAATTAATGCTGTGTTGATGTTCCTTGATTTGTTGATTTATTCAATAATTTCAACCGGATTTTTTTTTCTGATTTGGGTATAAAATTAAACAAAATAATCCAAAACAGCATGATTATGATTAAAAACTATGAAGAACATATCTTCAAAACTTGCAGTAAAAGTTTAAATTCGACAAAGTTAATATGAAATAAATAAATAAATAGTCTTGTCTGGATGTATGCAATACACTAGTGATAATGTTCTCTTTTTTTAATAATAATAATAATAATAATAATAATAATAATAATAATAATAATAATAATAATAATAATAATAATAATAATAATAATAATAATAATAATAATACACTGTATCTCCCATGGGTATGAAGCAGGAATGGATCGAGTAGAATGTATTAGACCAAGATTTCACACCTACTGCACATGTTTTTAAACTTGGCGAGGATATTGGTTTCCGTCTTCCAAACTATTATCCCACAGATTTTCTTCGTAGCGACTCGCGTTAAACTATTCGATTCTCACCTACATCGGTGTATAGCGGATGTCTCGTGCTGTGAAGCAAGATATGCTTACACTTATCCGTATGGCGTCAGATCCATATATCTTTCTCTTCCTGATGTATTGTGCAGTGTTCTTGTGGATTTTGCATCAGTCGATTGTGCTGGATTTGTTGTCAGTCGTGTGTGTTTGACTTGTGGAATAGTGCCACTCGTTTGTTTGTACCTGTGAATTTCTGTCAGTCGTTTCTGCTGTACGTATGTATTCCATTCCATTATCGTATGGGTGTGATGTAATTTCTACTTTGTTGTTATCGTTGACGTTGTGTAAAAAGCAAACAACATTCTACATATAAATATGACAACCTTACATCAATCAAATACAAACACTACTTGTACACATAGTGTACTGATGCAATAACGTGATAACGAATCAAATACGGTTTCCGCTAAAGTAGTAACTCGAAACGTCCATACTAGTAGTAAGCTATGTAATTTAAATCGTATATGGTAATTCTGCTTAATTATTAATTAGGTTGTATTTTTTTCTTTTTTTACCTGATAGCTATATAAGTTGATTTAAAACACGATAAATGCAGTGGTGTTAAAACCTAGTGAATATCCGGAACATATACATATACGGAACATAAAAAAAATATTATGTATTATGATTATGATTATACAAAGAAATGTACAAAATAACAAATAATTATTTAAATCAGACTGTGATTACACTATGTTTGAAAAAAATGATAATAAAACGAATATATAATTTTGAAGTATATATATATATTTAGTATGTTCACAGTGATTTACGTTATAAAATGATCCAACTAATCAACCTGCCTTAAAATACTGAATTAATAATATTTAATGGTTGTTGTTTTTAAGATTATATGCTTAACTAACCTCAGGCCACTTTTTATGACATACGTTGAATAAAAAATGATGAAACTCTATGATAAACTGATAAATATTAACTAATTCTATATACTAGTAATTAATGTATACATAATGTTTTGTTTCCGAAATAGTTTGATATCATGTCCTGGGTGATTTTTTTCTCAGGTTTTTGTCTTCACTACGCAATATACACTAACGTACGGGAGAATTAAAGAACAGCCGAATACGTGACTGCAAGTTTCTAACTGATGTCATTAAAATAACATGCTTCGACGCTCTGGCATATAATGAGGTGTACATTTACGTTGGAATAAGTGTACTGCTTGAGGCTGAGATGATGTTTGTATGTCAAACATCGCCATGACTGAGAAATGACTTACGTTGGGTAGCTGTTTTTTTTTTCGCTTAATCCGTTTTAGCACATACTTATGTATATCTCTCATACATGCCGTATAAGGTGGTGATTATGGCCTGAGGAAAGGCTTAATGTGCGTATTATAGATAATAGAAGTAGTATATACGCAGGGGTGCAACTTGAATATTCGAGGTGAATGTTCCGGCGAAGCACTCCACTATATGGAACGAACGGAACAACACCGTGAAGGCGGACGATGCAGGGGTGGTGATGTCCCATTTACAGAAAACATATAAAGCTAAACTGATGTGATTGAAATTGCCTTTTACCGAAGTAATCTTTTGTACAGATCAGCTGACTTATACGTAATTATCTGTAAAAAGTTAAAGATATGACACACGTCAGTTATTAGGTGTCGCATCACAGGTAGATATATTATCGTGTCTATCTGCTGACATATTCTTATGTTTTCTTCTATCGCAGCACCGCTATGTTTGGGTTTGTTACGTATACTGTATGTTGTGGAAGTACAATGTATATCTAAATGTCATATTTGTTGAAATTGTTAATCATTAAATCAAGCAGTGTGCTTCTCGGTTCAGTGTTCTGGTACGGAATAAAAAGGCGTTTTCGTTTGGCTTACGGCTGTATCCGGGGATCGCATAGCGTGGCGCCGGTTATTTTTGTAAAAGTATTTTTTTTCGTCAAGCTGAGGATACTGAAATCATGGGTGTTATAATACTATGAAGGAAAAAAAAACTCAATCACTGCTTGTTCATGTGTGTATTCGGTCATTCGTGATTGTCGTGCACGATTGAAAGCCACAGTTTCTATTTTAAGATGTATTAGATGTATTGTATAATAATAGGAATGAGACCCTCGGAGCTAATTGTGAAGTTCGGCTTCGCCTCGACTGACAATTAGCTATTTGTGTCGCTAAAACTATTCTTCCATCTATATGCATATTTACAGGTGACGTAATCCCGGGGACAATGAATCCTGGAAGATCGAATGATCAGGAAGGCAGTGTGAAGCAGGGGAACACGAAATGTAGAGGTGAAACTGTAGCCGGCCCAAATCTGAACATAAATAGTTTAGGGTGTCCAATTGAATATTTCAGAGTTAAAACCTGGGATATTTTGTTTTTTAAGTACGGTAACGGTGCTTGAAATGTTGTTATTGTTGTGAGAATCCATTCATCGTGAATGACATAGAGTTCTTTCGCCCTAAATTATTCCACCACCTGTTCCCGTTGGCAAAAAAGTGTATGATGACATGGGAATGAATGAGATGAAATGCCATTTTCGAGGTTTCCCGAACCAGGTAAAATACAAATACTGTGTGGAATACAGTACTAGCTACATTGCAAACTGCACAACTAAGAGTCATCGGCGCTGCGTGTCTCAGACGCTTACCATACCTCGGCCAGGTGTTCCGAGTTCATTTCATACATAATAAGATTAGATTGTACAGTAGTTACGCAATATGTTCGGACATTTCTAATAATAATAATAATAATAATAATAATAATAATTTTATTAACATATAACTACCCAAAAAAAGATGAAAGGGGTTACAAATGCAATTAAAAAAATACACAAAATAGAGTTTTAAAATAAGACAATTAAAGTGCGCGTTGCTGTCTATGTTGCATACATATTGATATGAACTGCGCAAGCGTATTATCTTAAATCGGTGGAGTCGTCGCCTACGCATGCGTCAGGTGGCCATAGCGTGTCATTGTTTACAAAACAACGTCTACCTATGAGCCTTTGCGTTTCTAGCGTTGTTATCATCGCTTGAGACTCAATTTCCACGCGTGCGCAGGTGACAACCCTCCCGCTTTAATTAATGAAATGGGTAAAATAGAATAGTATGTAGTGTGAGATTGTGGCACTTTGTTTTGTGAAGTTTTATTTTCTGTTTTTAATGTTTCATTTTATTCTGCCTTTGTGTTAAAGTTATGTTTTTGCCGATTTTTGGTGGTGAAGTACTGACGGTTTGGTAAATCCAGATTTACTTCTAGTGTATAGGCATACAAACATGAACTTGAATGTATATTGAAACTTCACATTTGCCAAATCAGTAAAAACTATGTCCCCAAATTTAAATACTTGTGGACTTCACAAAAACATCTGATTGTCAGTTGTCTAAATAGCATAGATACCTAGGCAGAAAATAAACATATCTGCTCCTCCCCTGTGTTTATGTTCTGCTAGGTTTCTATCCGTCCATGTAGCAGAGCGCCCTCTAGTGACACTGTGAATAAGTGAAAGACATTTTTTTTTTCTTAAAATATACCAAGCATTATATATTATGACTATGACTTATGTAACTATGACTGGTCAAACAATGGATTACCAATATAAACAAACATATACAACTATAATTTAGTCATAGCAATGGCAGTCCTACACAATAGTTTTTCCAAATACCATTATTACAACGAAATGGTTAACTATTGAAACTACATGTCACAGAAAACACTTAATGATACTCATAACATAAAATAACAGTAGGAAGAAGAAATGAACATGTTTGTTTTATGGAGAAAGTTTACAATAGTTAGATCAATAAAAGTATGAAAATGAACTCTAGAGGGCAGTACATATTATGTTTGTTGAGGTCTATCATATGAATCTAGAGGGCAGTAGACATTATGTTTGTGTCCCCAAGTACTTCAATTGAAAAGTAATATATGATCTAGTCTTTTCTGAGTAAAAAAATTATTAATTTGTTTGAAAGTCTGAAAACAAAAAATATCATGAAGCCTTGATAATATGTGGGACACAAGTTTATGTTGATGACTTGCCAGACTGAAATTGAGAGGAATACTACATTTTCCTTACCCCTCAGGGAAGTCCCTTCTTTTTGAGAGGAAAAATAACAGATGCAAATTATTTGTATAAAAATATAACTTGCAGAAAAATTTGCAATATTTGTGGTAGTGCGCCCTCGAGTGATAATGATGAGAACAAATGAAAATAATACAACTTTTACAAAGCATTTTCATTTCTTGAAAAAAAAGTAAAAGTAGATTTTATGACTGATGTAGCAACTAATATTTCAAGTATTGAATCAACATGCAATGACTATCAAAATATAATTTCTTTGATATAGTGACTTAGTTTTTTTACACTATTTCAATAACCCTGGACTCCCTCATGCTTTAAAAGCCATTTCTTAATTGGTAAGCCTTTGCCAGACATGTAATTACCCAGGTTACCATGACTACCAACTACTCTGTGGCATGGCATGAGTAAAGGAATTTGGTTGGATCGCATAGCACCACCAACTGCTCGACATGCCTTGGGATTCCCACACATAGCAGCCAGCTCACCGTAGGACACCGTTTCACCGACAGGAACTTTATCTATAGCGGTCTTCCAAACACTGGCAGTGAACGAGTCTGTGGAATATAAATATTTTATGTTTGATTAACAAAATATGGTTTCAGAAACAAATAACAAATGACGAGGTGTCATATTTATCTCACGCATAGCACTTAAATGAATAAATACTTGACAACAACAAAGAGAAATAAGAACAACTTCTTTTGGTGTTCGGTATTGTATTTCGGCTGCATGCAAAATATACGTTTGATGAAATCATTAATTATGAAATGAACATATTTGAATTAGCCGTATGTGCTAGCAAAACAAACTAAGTCTTCTGTACTACAGGAATAAATAAAATAATAGATGAATGAAACCTACATATATTCTTCAACATCAAATTATCTTGTTGACAATTCAAGTTTTGTTTCTGTTATTTTCCATAACTTAACCAGTCAGTGACAGACTCTGCTACAATTTACCTGAGAGCACTATATAGTTTGGGTTCATACCCAAAAATGATACTGAATAAATACAGTTTGTACCTGGTTTTGTTGTAGTTAAGTGCATGGGTGGCAAGGTATGCTCTGTAATGGCAGTCAGATCAGAGAAATATATAGATAACCATTCTGTACATTCAGTCAAAGGTTTATTCATCACACCTTCACTCTTTAACACTTCAACTTTGTTGCTAGTATAGAAACAATTGTAATTAGACCTAGAGGTCATATGACAGTGAATGAATGGTGTTGTGTTCCTGTGTATCAACAGTATGTCTTGTTACACTGTCACATGTTTTATTTCCATGCAATATTTTTGCTAGAAGTTCAAAATATCTAACAAACTAATCTTTAAAGTTTCTACATTATAATTATTCAAGTCATGTGAACCCCCCTGGATTTGTCTTTTATTTTACATTGAAAACTTAATCCTAACACATAATACTGTAAATACTTTATTTACGCTTGGAATTAATTTTTCGTTTTTTTTTTTTATGAAAGAATTATTCAGTGAAAATAAAATCCAGTGAATATACCTTTCATCCTATATTTTACATTCAACAAAACACCAAAAAAATCTTTTCAGCAAAAATAAGATATATTACAGTATATTAAATTTGTTCTAAATGATGGGGGTCTTTAAAAATCTCAGTTAGGGTGCATTCTAACATTCCATCTGGACTCCCTAAGCTAAGGATAAAATGTTATAATAAAATACTAAAATATTTATTGAAATTATTGTACAGTTGTAATTATGAACGAGCTATAGAAAAAATATCACAAAAAAACAGATAATTAAACATTTACCGAGCATGTTATTGTAAATAATGCAATGCATTATGGGAAACTTCCTACTGTATGGAAAAATATTTTCACACTAGAAACTCATTAAATTGAAAGGCATTTTTTTTAAATGTTTTAAAATAAATTAGTATTAAAACCAATAATGCAATATGGCTATTTTGACTCATGTCACCAAGCAAAATTTACCATAGAAACCAATGCAAAAATTTAAATATTAACAATTACTTTTCATGATAGAACTTTTATAGTTTTCAGTTTCAGTGTCGTAAAAACATTTAACTAAATTATTATGACAGAATGACGACATATCTATTTAATTTGTCGTTTTTGCACACACATTATTAGTAAAGACAATGTGGAGGGAGCTCTTTGGGTAATCATTATTAAATATCTGAATTTAAATGAAACCTGATGAGCGATATTTACAGAATGTTATAATTACTGGTATGTTTATAAACTTAGGTACGGCTTTCTGTCTTTCACTGTATATATGTATGTAGATATAAACTGTTATACTGATTAACGGAAAGGAATACTACTAGTATAATATAAATTTGTTTTTATCTCACTATGTTCACAGTCAATTAAATAGGATTATTGCATTCAACAGTTCTATACTCCCTTCCTCCATTGATCCACCTGTATAATTAAAGAGGGAGGGTCGTCACCTGCGCACGCGCGGGAATTGAGTGCCAAGCGACGATAACAACACACGATAAAAGCGCAAAGGCTCATGCTTGTTGTAAACAATGACACCCTATGGCCATCTGACACATGCGCAGGTGACGACTCCTCCGCTTTAATAATCATCAAAACCTCCCCACCTCCGCATGATTAACAATTTTTCCGCAGAAAATAGATTCATATTTGTACATAAGCTGACGATGTAAAGGACAAACTGTTTTTATAATGGGATTTCCCTTCAAAACAATCTAAACGTCATTTTCCAATGTGTAAGTTCCCGTTCCGATATCGACCATACCCTTACTTTTGATAGCGTTCAAGCCTTGACGGGTCAGAGGTCGCAGAAAGTTGTATCTGGTGGACTCCCTTTGAGCAAGCACTGACAATAATTTCCCCGATTGGACTTTTCAGCCACGCGTAAGAAAGCACACAGTTTGTCATTTCATCTGCGTCTTTGTAACTTTTTACGTGCGAGTAACCTTTGCCGAGGTTGCAGGGATTCCCAACAGTGGCGCGGGGAAAAAACACGTGATAATTTGATTTAAATTTGTTTTACTTCCGGGTCGTGTTTTTGTTAGACGTCACCAGTGTGATCGCCATATTGAATTTACAGTCATCCGGAAGCGATTCGGCACTATACGGGCATTTTGTGAATTTTCATCAGCGATCATCGTTTCAGAGAACAAATTTACGATCTAATTTTTTGCTGTGAACAAAAGTTTAACATTCTATCTCCATCATGTGGAAGCTTCGTGAACTGGGTGACAAAGTGTAAGTAACATTTTCTTGTTAAAAGTGAGGGTGTGTGTAACCTACTGATTTGCATAAGATGGACGCCATCATGATTACAAACGTAGTCTTTGAGTATGCACCGGTACCAAAAAATGTTTATAATATAGACTACGAGTCATATATTTTTACATAAGCTCAGTCTGTCACGGTGCCAATAATTATGGAATTTATAAAAAAATTGCGAAGTCTGCGCTTATAATAATCGTATCTGTTCTGTCAAAGGGTGACACGGAATGCACATTATTATTTTCATTTGTAATCCCGGATGTGAAGTCACTGTCTTTTCAATTTCGGGCATGACCTGTGAATGGCATCTCTGAATCTGTATAATCATAGATTGACTTGATAATCTTGCAAATATTGTCGTTATTCAGCCTGTACATAGTGGTAATGATATGATGACGTGTTGTTATCACGACGTTGTAAACAGTAGTTATATAATACTTTTTTAAAAAAAAACTGTGATTTTGGTTGCCGTATTACGTATAATTTGTGATCTATAATTTGTATTCTGTACCCAATTTGCTAAATACGTGCGGGGGTATTTGCCCATATTTTTTGTTGACGAAAAAACGGTAATTGTTACACTAATCGCCAGCATTACAATCTAAACAGAAACTTTCAGATTAATTTTTTTGTGAATGATTTCTCCCATCCATGCCTTATGTAAGCTGTAATTTAGTGTACTCATGGAGGTAGAAAAGAGAAGGAGTGAGGACGCTATTTAAGCCCATGTTAATCTTATAAACATCCTTTGTCTTCGCTCTGGTTAAGCCACTTATTGTTTTTGTTTAGAAGTCGTTTTATCTACATGATGATAGCCGCTTATTTACACAAGAAAACGAGAGTAGAACTGAAAAAAAATAAATTCCGTTTAAACATCGTCTATAAAATTGAATGCGCAAACCATAAATAAAAGAATTGTGCATGCGCAATGACCTTTATCGGATCACAAAGGTCATTTCACACTTATAGATAGCAGAAATTCTGCATACGGACGCTACCAAGATGTGTGATTTCTTCTTTTCTGGTATTTTTCATCACAATAGTCGTCCAACTTTGGACATTACAGTGTTCTCCCCACATAGAACAAAGCATGGCGGCATCGCCATGCTTGGCGACCCGGCCGCCACGCTTGGGCTCGGACCGCCATGCTTACAACTTCACCGCCATGCTAATAGGATGCATTGTTTACATCCTTTTGACCCGCTCACACGTAGCACTGCATAAATTATCACCGTCTACGCCACAGCGGTTTGAACTTGCCA